AACCGATTACCATAATCATTGGCCATCGTTAATATATCACGTAATTCCATCACGATCCGGTCAGCCGCACCCTGGGCTGTCAGGCCCTCCCGACACATAATTAAGTACATGTATGTGTAACGAGCTGAGCCCGCGCGCACCTCTTTTCTAAACGAGTAGAGCTCTTTGACCAACATGAAATGCTTGGCGCACGTGATGGCAAACAACTCTAACAGTTCGCTGGATGATAAACCAGAATATTTGTTGGGGTCGAAACAGGCGCTCAGTTCGCTCAATATTAATAGCATGTTCGGGAAACAATCCACCTGTCTAAACAGGGTTAAAATAAATTATTAATTAAATTTAGCTAGCTGTATAAATGATTTTTTAAATTAATGAGCTTATTTGATTTTTTATTTACTTCATGTCCATAAACTCTTCGTACGAAATTAATTCGCCATGCTCATTTAGTTGCCGCTTATACGTGATGGCCGTACCGTACGACCCAATCCATCCCATAGCGTACCGCTTGTGTCGGCGCATTTGGTCGACACTTAAACACCGGCCCAATCGGTCGATCGCCGTTACCAGCACTCTGTCCATCGGTGTGTTGTCATCGCTACGGCCGGTGCTGTACTTTCGCTGCCATTTACTAGTTAAATAAGCAACATTTTAATTGTGGTAAATTTAATACAATAAGATAATTAGTTATAAATAACTTAAAACTAATACAGCAACATATTTTTAAAAACTGTAATTAAATTTAGTGATGAGGTAAGTATTTTTAATGTAAATACTAATTATTTAAATATGGAAATTAAAAAATTATAAAAATTCATTTTTATTGTATTAAATAATAACAAATACAAGTTAATTTATTAAATTTATATTTAAATCATAATCGTTCAACATTGTCCATTTATTACAATAAAAGTTATTCTTGCAAAATAAACAATATACATCTATTTAACTTTATAAACTTACTGTATCTCTTTTACATCACTGATACCATCAAGGTGATCGTCAAAGGCAATGGCAAACACACACCAATAATTCATCACGGCAAAATGATCATGATTATCGATGGTGTATAAGAGGCTACAATAATCAGCTAGCTGGTCAGAATCACCCCATTCAGTGCCATATATTTTAATAATTTCACGCACAACAATTGCCTGGGAGTCGGGATTGTGTCGGTTGCGATCAATAGGCTTTATCTGTAGACCACTTATGCTATAGTCCAACAATTGAGCATGGTCATCGGGGTCAACATGTTTGATATTTAAACGTCCTAGTTGTTGGTATTGTTTGGGTAGAGTGCCGGCGAACGTATTCATTTAGTAATCACTGTATATTTATTAAACTAGTTGAATTTGTTATGATTTATTTTACTTATCTAGTTAATTATTTGTGATTAATTTTACCTTAATTTATTATGGAGTAATTTATTATAATTTATTTATAAAGCACACTGAAATTCTTACAGTAAATATTTTTTATTTTATAAAGTTGAAATATTTAACGCATTGGTGCACTTTACATTGAATGAATTAGTAAGCAATTTATCATTGTGCAAAATTCTTTAAATAAAATGTTTTTACGTAAATACTTTTAAGTGTAATTTTGCTCTTATATAAAAACAATATAAAATAATTTTACTTATCGTAAGCTTAAATTTGTTTTTTAAATTTAATATAAGAATTTGTGAGATCAGTATTTTATAATTAAACATGAACATTGTTTTAAACATTTTAATTGTTTTATTTTAACATTTCTATGGAAATGGACTTTTTAACTTAATAAATATTTAAATGTAGAACAATAATATTTTATTGTATTTATTGTGTGATTTTAAATTAAATTGATTTGATATTTGTGACAAGTAAATTATATTAGGAATTAGTATTGTAATTTAAAGCCAGGTGACCACCGTCTACGACCAAGTTGGTGCCGGTTATAAATGACGAGTCAGGGGCCGCTAGAAACAGTATGGCCGACGCAATATCATCAGGCATGCCACATCTGCCAACAGGGTACTTTGAAGCCAGATGTGCATTAAAACTTTCGTAGTCAACCCCCATAGAACTGATCAGGTTTGTATAAGTACTACCTGGACTAATAATTGGATATTTAAATAAATAAACTATTATTTTTTGTAAGAAATCACTAAAATTGCACAAAGGTAATTTACATGACACTATTAACCCGGATGCCTTTAGGGGCCAATTCGACTGCCATACAATTAGTGAACATATTCACAGCCACTTTCGACATACTGTACGGCGAGTTATTTGGCGGCTATTAATAAATAACTTGACAGTATTATAAATGTACAAGTTGTAAATCGCCATGCTACAATAAAATATAACTACTAACCGGTTGTATCGCCGAAACGCTTGATATGTTAATAATATTACCACGTGTTTTGGCCAAATGGTCAACACATATGTGTGTCAAATATACCATAGAATGCAGATTTGTTTGCATTATATCTCGGTAAGTGTCCATATATGACGTGTCCGTAATAGTTGCGTATTTCTGCGCGCCTGCGCAGTTGACCAATACGTCCAATCGGCCAAACTTGGCTATGGCTGCGTTGACCAATCGGTGCATATCTGACTCACTGTTAACATCACCCGCCATTGCCAGTACACCACCGCCCGCAGCGATATTCCTGCACTCTGTAGTCACGTCAGACATTTGCTGGTCATCGTAGAGACCGGTTATAACCACGTGCGCGCCCGCCCGGGAAAATTGTTTTACCGTGGCCGCGCCGATGCCCGAGCTCGACCCGGTGACCAAGGCTACTTTTTCGTTAAAGTTGTATTTTATTGACATTTATAAATAATAAATGATTTATATTTAAAATTTATTGTGGTTAATTTTATTTTTTAATACAATAAATAATATTCTAAAACTACTAAAGTATATAAACTTTATATTTGTACTTTTTATAAGTTATGTTGCTTGAAATAAAATATATTGTTATGTTTGTTTAAATTATATTATTGATCGACAATCAAGTATCCCAGGGCAACTTAGTGTTGCCACATGGCATATTGTGCTTAAATTGAATGTTTAATTATTTTATTAATTGATTTATCAAGTAAATCAAAAAATATATTAATAAAATATAATCGCAAACACTATCACAAATTCAGTAGAATGTGATATAATAATTAAATTTTTAATTCTTTATTTAAAATGACGTTTGTACATTAATTGATTGAATACTGTGAATTTGATTCTGGCTAACCTACAAACACATTACCCGATCAATATGTTTGATTATAATATTATGTTATGTTTGTTATCAAATCTTTATTTAGGTGAATTTTGATAACAAATAATCACTTTTATTTAAGTCAATTGTATTTTTACAATCTGAAAGTCTAGCACTACTATTACATTATTTGTAAATAAAACTGCAATATTAAAATATAAAATAATCGATGATGCTGATAGCGTGCCATTTAAAGTATACGAAAATTATAATAAATTAATAATTGTTAATAATAAGGTATTATTAAACAGATTAATTTTTAATCAATATGGGTATAAATAAACATTTATATTAATTAAATGATATTCTGTGTTATAATAAAAATTAATCATAAAATACAACATTTGACTAGAAAATGATTTTAGTATAATAATATAATATATTTATTATTTATATCTATTTATTTTATAATTGTCTTATGAAATATAATGTAAACATTAATATGTAAACAATATTTAATTAATAAAAATATTTAATCTAGTTTATTTACCATAAGAAAGTCACAAGTTTCATTTTTGCATATTTATGAAGACTGTATTAAATATGTTATACATGTAATATATACAATTTATATATTTTTTGTTGTTGAACGTTGATCAAGTTTTATTATTGGCGAGTTCTTCAAACTAAATAAAAGCGGTGACACGGGTGTAATTTTTATAAACTAAAATTTTGCACTGAAATGTATTGGAGATTCAAATGCTTGATCAGATGTTGTGACCGTTGGTTTTTAGGAGGAGTGGTTTGCCTCCAATACATTTCAGTGCAAATTTTAGTTCATAAAAATCACACGGGTGTCACCGCTTTTATTTAGTTTGAAGAACTCGCCAATATGCTTACTAATAAAAACTTAAATATTGTTATAAAAATTAAATTATTCAGAAATTAATTATATTAATTTTATTACAATAACACTCAATAAATTTAAGTGAAATTTATATTATCTAAAAGCTGAAAATGTCAGCACCTACCACATAAAATAATTAAATAGGATAGTTCACATTAAATAGTTTCAATAATAAAACACAAGTTATTTTTACATAAATTTTAATATATCTTTGATATAATATTGTGTACTACAAAATTAAATAATACAATAATTTTAGTCACAAAAATTTTACTACTTTTAGTATTTATTTTGTTTCAAATAAAATAATTGTACATTATATTTACATAATTAACGCTCATAGATTTGATGGTTAATTGCATGTTACATGGGGTGTAGAAGCATATTTATGAGTCACACACTTCTGGCCTGAACCTTCAAGAAACGTTATCGATGTTGCTAACACTTGTTCCAGTCTCACTTTCTCAGTTGCGGCACAGGTGAACTAATTTTTAAAATGTATATTACAAATTAAATTATCATGACAAATCGACAGAACAATTACTGTTTATACTAACATCTTTAGCTTTAATGCAATCCATCTCGGCCCACAGTGCGCAACACATGTAGGCATTGTCAGTGGGTTTTGTCGGGTAGTTGGGCACTGCAGTTGTAAAACATGTTTCTACGGTAGCGTAAGTTCGTATAAAACATGGATCTTGGGCCAATTCATCGATCACATCGTTGACATTGTTCACATCGTTCAGAATGTGGGTAAGAAAATGGCCACCATAGGCGCTATGGGCTGCCACCAACAATACAGCTAGTACAATTAATTTTGACATTGCTATACTAGTTTTGTGTTTTAAATTAAATACCTAATTTCTTTTTTGCTAGTTTATATACAATCTATTTTCTGAGATATAGATGCACTAATTTGGTTAATTTTGCACACGGCAATGAGCTGATTAAAAATTATTTAATTAATAACCACTTATGAATATGGCAATTTTTGATTAAATTTTAATCTGATAGAGATATTTAGTTTCTGTACAAAATAAAGAAATTTAATAAATTTGAACATTTTCTACTAAATTATGTAGTGTTTGATAAAATAATAAATATTTGTTTAGTAAAATTATTTCTGTTTAATAGTTTATTTTAATTAAATAATTGCATTTTTAAATACGAAATATTTACAATATTCCATATTGATTGTTATACAAACAATATTTAATTAATGATATATTGCGGGATTATTTACTAGATATATGTTTAATTTATTTATTATAGGAACAGTCACAAGTTTATTTTTTGTATATTTATGAGAGCTTTAAAAAAGTTATATAATGTAATGTAGAATAATAGTAATAGATATGATTTTACAAGTACAGTATAATAAAGGTATTAGTTAATAATAATTTAAATATAATACTAGAGATAAATTTTTATTAAAATAAATGTTTATATTCAAATAATAAATAATCTATATTTTAGTATAATGTTTGTGAAACCAAAATATTCTCAAAAAACATCAATTGTAAATAAAATTTTACGCTATTTAGACCAACATGTCCCATTGATAATCCAGACTTTAATATGGTTTCACCGGTTTATGGGTCTAACATTTGGTGGCATTAGCCTAAAAACGGGACAAATATCTCAAAATAAATATTGGAAAATATTTGGTTATTTATCATGTTTATTTTTTATTGGGTTTGAATTATACCTTACAATAATGTCTATAAAACAATTTGATTATGTAATGAAGCAAGCATTTGGCGAATTAATGTACATACCTGCTTTATTTATATCATCGCAACTGTTTGAAATGCTCATTAAAAATATAATTGTATTTAAAATAAACAACAATGGGTTCAACATGATCAAGCTATTTGTAGACAACATTGGACCATATATAAAACACCGTATAACAGCTCGTATAATTATGATATTTATTACCTGGCTGCTGCACTTAGTTTTGATGATCAACATCTATTATAACACCATAGTTAGAAATCCCCAGTTTTCAACTATTGCTCAATATATATATGGCCTTTCATTTGTATTTGTATTGTTTTATTTATGGATACCCCACTTATTTATATGGATTACCTCGTCATATTGTATTGAGTAAGTAATTTGAGAAATTTAAATACCAATAAATATAATTAATAAAATTACACAACCTATAATAGCGTGATGAATTATATTTGTGCGGACAATAATAATGTGACATTTAATGACATCTATCCGAGTGGTATGATTAGCTCATGTAAGTTTAATATAAATGTAAATTAAATATACATTTTATATATTACATGTACTTTAAATTAATTTAAAAATATTAAAAAAACTAATTACGTTATTTATTAATTACTATATAAACTAGATTACGATTATATAAATATTCGGGTCAACAGAAATACAATGAGCAGCAAAATAGTGTATAATAAGAAACTATACGTTAAAATACGGGAGACATTGTGTGTTTTGGACAGATGGTTAAACTACACACTAGTGTTGACCACAATTCATACGATGTTTACAATAATGTTAAGCATATACACTTGTACCCTGGTGCAGACAATACCTTTCCTAAAACATTTTGTGCATTCAATGTTATTTAATAGCCTATCGGCCAGTATTTCAACGATTATGTCGTGTTTTATATGCGGTTTAGTGTCGACTAAATCGGCAAAACTTCAGCGCATTTTGCATGAGATTAATGCCAGGGATTTGTCGGACGACGAGTACAACGAGTGGCTTATGTTTGGGACAATTGTACGAAACACTCGTACGTTTGGATTCACGATTGGAGGTTACGCTGTGTTTGACAAATTAACTTTCATTGAGGTAAATGTGTATAGCATTATTATTATTATACTTATCCTTTTATTATTCTATGTAGATATTCTCGTTTATACTGTACTACACCGTCATCTTGGTGCAAACACGATTGGTGTAAAAATTAAAATTTGGACACTTGTATTGCAAATTATAATAAAATAATAATTGTTAATAGCTTATTATAACAATATCAAATGTTTAAACAATATAAAGAAATAAATATTTATATTTATAAATAAACATTTTATACATAGAATAGATGAAGATATTTTATATTAATTAAATCTTAAGTCATATTTTGTAATATAATAAAAGTTTTGACATTATTATATTGATCGTTACTAACACATTGTTACTGTTAGTAATTTATTTAATTAGTAAAATGCTTGTGAATATAAGAAAAATTTATCAAATATTTGAATAGATTATTTATTATTTATATTGCATATGGATTTATAAATAAATAACATTTGATTAATAATGGTACAATTAATAAAATTACAGAATATTGCATTATTATTTACTAAATACATTTTGCTAAAAGTCACATATCATAGAAAAAGTCAAAAGTTTTAGTTATTAAAATGTTTATAACACTTATAATTCTGTGCAAATTAATAAATACCAAGTTAAATTAATTTCATCAAATATTAAAATATAAATAATAACATGTTTGTCAAATCGCATAATAAGCATAAAACATATCGTCCATCCAATAGTGTATTACATTATATGGACCAACATTTTCCAGTTATAATCCGCATATTAATATGGTTTCATCGGTTTATGGGCATAACATTTGGCGGCATCACTATTAATATATGCAGGAATAAAGGGACAATTCATCAAAATAAATATTGGAAAATATACGGCCATGTAACATGGTTGTGCTTTGTTTGCTACGAGTTTTATCTTACGGTGTTTATTATAATTAATTTTACCAAGATTAATCAACATGTTTTTGATGGGTTCACTTTATTTATACCAATATTATTTATGGCATCGCAAGCATTTGAAATATTCATCAAGGATTTTATTGTATATCAAATTAACAGCAATGGGTTTAAAATGATCAAGCTAGTTGTTGATAACATTGGACCTTATATTAAAACACGTATAACTCGGGGCATAATTGTGATATTTATTATATGGCTGCTGCACATTATTTTGCTTATTACTATGTACGTAATTACCGTTGTGAAAAATCCCAATTTTACCACGTTGCGTGACCTAATAGAAGGCCTTGTATTTGTCTTTGTTTTATTTTATTTGTGGTTACCATACATATTTATATGGGTAATATCGGCCTATTGCATAATGTTAGTATAATTAATTTATCGTATGTTATCCCATTAATCTAGTTTAATTGTAGCATAATTATTTAAAATGCAAAAATTACACTAGGATAATTGACAATATTTGTATGGAAACAAGTGATGGGCCGTTTAATAATAACTATCCAGGTGAAATGATTGGATCATGTAAGTAAATGATGATATTGGTAATTAAAAATGTTTATAAAATTAATATGTTTGTTAAATTAAACAATTAGATTGTGATTACATAAACATTCGCATCAAAGGGCATACTATGGGTAGAAAAATAGCATATAATAAAAGATTATTTGTTACAATGAGAAATATGCTAAATATTGTGGACAAGTGGTTACACTACTCACTAATATTAAACACAATTCACACAATATTTATCATGATGGTTAATCTATACGCTATAACCCTATTATCTAATCGGCCAATAATGTTAGGCGCCTCAAGAATTGAAATAACTCTTAAACAAAATGAGCTAGATCTATTCTGTAAAAAGTAAAATAGAGTTCCATATGTCTAGTTTTTTGTAGCAAAAAATTATTGAGATCACGTGATTAGAACCCAAAAATTTCTGGGTCAAATCGATTTGCCATGTTTTTTGCCCACCTCGAAGGGGGCTAGGAAGGGGGCGGGTATGCTCATCTTTAGAGGAGATGTCAAAGACTATGATAGCAAAGTTTGACTTAAATTCATTCAGCCATTTACGAGAAATTGTTAATTTTATTAACATTAGGTCTATGGGGAAAAATGGTTCNGGAGGAGATGTCAAAGACTATGATAGCAAAGTTTGACTTAAATTTATTCAGCCATTTACGAGAAATTGTTAATTTTATTAACATTAGGTCAATGGGGAAAAATGGTTCTGAAGTCGACTTTTTATAACAACGAAAATGTAGTACAAAAAGGTCAAAATTGGGCTATTTTTGTCCAAATATTATGTCAAATTTCTTGAATAATTTGTTCGCTACGAAAGAATATTCATTTGAATTTCATGAAACTTTGCTATCATAGTCTTTGACATCTCCTCTAAAGATTAGCATACCCGCCCCCTCCCTAGCCCCCCTCGAGGTGGGCAATAAACATGGCAAATCGATTTGACCCAAAATTTTCTGTGTTGTGGTCACGTGATTTTAATAATTTTTTGGTACAAAAAGCTAGACATGTGGACCTTCATTTTACTTTTTCCAAATTTAATCTAGTCCTTCTAGTTTAGCTGTAATCACAAAAACCGCGCGGACAGATTCATTTGACTTGGTTAATAAAATGATTTATCTTTTAGACCAATGATAATATTTCACAACAAAGTAATAATAGAAATTATATATTATAAATAAATTACAGTTAAGTATTATAATATTAAGATTTAAATTAAATAATATCTATATTAATATTCTTTTACAAGTTAATGCAATTTATTTACTGATACAATACACGAATATTGTTAATTAATTAAGTTGGTTATATCCTAAATCAGAACAGAAATGAACAAATAGTTTGCAACATTTTGTAGCTTAATAAACACAGATTCTATCGCATATTATATTGTAAATAAACTCTATCTATTAATGATATAAATTAAATTGATCATGTTTGGTTATTTTGCTTTTAAATAGATAATACTCATTTAAAAATCATCTATGCAAAATTCTCACTTATTTATACAATTAAAGTGTAGTGTAATAAATGTTAACGTCGATTTGAATTAGCCAAATATTTATACAATCATAAAAAATTAGGTTTTGGCCACAAAGTATTTATTTTGTATATTTCAATAAGGTAATTTTGGATTCATAAATATATTTTAATTTTTGTAATGTTAGTGTACCAGAATATATTATTTTTAAAAATAAAAACCACTCTATTACATAATCCATAAGTACTTAAGTATTTAGCGTATAATATAATGCTATAAACACTTAAATATATTTTACAGGTTGTGTATTATAAATAATTTGTGATTAATATTGTTGTATTTTGCAGATAGTTTACATTTAAATTATAATAAATAGTTTTAGTAAATTAAGCAGGTTATTATTATGATTTAATTTAATTTAATATAATTTATGATGACTAATTTTATTAATTAGTGATAGTTAAATTCAGCATTATTTTGATAAGTACATGTAAAACCATGCAAACAATACTTTATTACATTGTTATTATGTTATAGTAATTATATGATTGGAATTAATAAAGTTGTTAATATTTTAATATAAATAAATTAATCGATAAACCAATTAAAATTATGATCAAATATTTTGAAATAATTTTTATATAATAATTAAATACATTTGAATATTTATAAAATCTATTTAAAGTACCAAGACGGACCAACTCAGCCAAACGCAATATTTTTTAAACATAGTAATATAATTTAACAAGTTTCAAAAATTATATTACAGTTTAATATTAAAGCATTATTGTTATTAAAAGGTGCAGAGATTGATAAAGCACATTTTAATGGTACGAATGTTTTTTCCGCATCATTGTAATTCGTTTCAAATGCAAAAGGTTTGGCCCACGTTAAAATTATATTATCATTGTAAATGTAGACATGCTAAGATTTAATTCGTTATTTCATTTAAATTTGATGTATTATAATTACCATAATGTTTTTAAATAAAATAATTTAGTGTTAATTGTAGTAAAATATTTAAATGATTAAAATTATTTGTGAAAAATAGAAACTAACATCAACAGGGTTATTTAAATTATTGTACAAATAATTCCTTTATAAATTTTATATGAATTAAACCATTTAATTACGTATAGACTGTATAATAAACGTAAACTATTATCACAAATTATTTCTAATAAATAAAAAATTTTAATTGGGACCGTTTGAAATGAAGATATTTTTAACAAGGTATATGCTGCATCATTTAAGACCAGTTCATTTATACATAAAGAGGCGTTAGATATATCTTGTACATCAATTATTTATT